GTGGTGGCGGTGTGTTGCTGGTGGTGGTGGTGGTGTTGGTTGTGGTGGTGGTAGTGGTAGTGGTGGTGTGGTGTTAGTGGTGGTGGTGATAATGGGGGTAGTGGCGGTGGGGGTAGTGGCGGTGGGGGTAGTGGCGGTGGGGGTAGGGGTCAGGTGGTGTTGGAAACTGATGATCATAATTTTTATATTCTTTTAAACGTGGTGCTCATGATTGTGATGGCGATGAGTGATGGTAACGACTATGATAATGATGATAATATCGTTGATGATGGTGATAATAATAATAGTAAATACTGATTGTCGTGACGATGATGGTGGTAATTACGATGACCTTAATGATGAAGGTCATTATAGTGATGATATTTATGATGATATGATGATGATGGTGGTGATGGTAATGATGATGGTGTTGGTGATGACGTTCATAACGATGATATAGACAAGCCAGAAAAACGAAAAGCCCGCTACTTTCACGATTTTCTTATTTAACTGAGTTTAATACTCCAAATTTTTAAGCGTTTCATTTGTGTCACTGTTGATTGAAACTTGTGACGAGATTTGGTCGAATTAGAGTAAATCTACTTAGTATCCACGAAAATGTCAGTTTTTCTGCTGATCAAAATATCACCTCTCCCAAAGTACACGGCTTTATATCTCAAATACGCATTCAATAAATTTTGGTCGCATTTGATATTTTGCTATTTGGCTCCAAAAGAACGTGTTTACAAAATATTGAGCTTAAATACGTAAAGCTGTCCTTATGGCGAAAGGCCAAAAACCGTTTTTCTGCCCTGTCGATGATATAATGATGGTGATGACGACATCGATAGGCGAATGAAAGATAGCGATGAAGAATAAAAGGGTTAACGCATATTTTCTGTATGACTTGTTATAGTACATTTCAGCATCTTGGGACAAAACCGTCAGAATATGGAACGCGTATAAAAAGAGTAAGCAATATGATTTTGCTCTTCACGATCAAGCACATAACGTTCCCCATGCAATCATTGGTTAATATATATGTCACGTGAACCTCATATTAGGCAAAAGTGCGTCTTGTTATGACATAATAAAACAAATGTAGCAGTACTATGTGTGAGTAGAGTTCGTTCGGGCCACGTGTTAGATAACTCTCTGGGTTAATTGTGTCACCCTCTCCTTAAATAAACTGTACTCTACTCTACTCTACTCTACTCTATTCTACTCTACTCTACTCTACTCTACTCTACTCTACTCTACTCTACTCTACTCTACTCTACTCTACTCTACTCTACTCTACTCTACTCTACTCTACT